GGCTGCTTGCTCAAAATGTCAGTAAGGCAATACTAACGGATAATGATTTGTCAGAACAGTGATTATTTCTAGAGCAAGGGCAGTGTTATAAAGCTTCGTCCCGGGGTTTCATAAATTGACTTCCAGACCACTCATGTATAATCAAATCAAGCCTTTATTGAAGCACACCAGTGGCGACTGACCAGAACATAAAGCTGTTCCCCTGATCAGCCCCAAACAATTGCAAGGGTGCTCCTTATAAGCCTGAAAACTGCAAGAGGGATGTTTGGGGGTCCAGCCAATGCAAACAAGCAAGGTTACAGAAGCAGGAGAGTACAGTCAGGTGGCGGGATGCTTAGCCAACCACAATTAGCCCAGTCATCCCAGTTACAGAAACAGAGCCCCATTACCTAGTTACAGAGACAATGCCCCAATTAGGTAGTTCTGTGTTCTTAAAGGTCTCTACAGCAAAAGGAAAAGAACATCTTGTCCTGGTCATGACCCTTCTACTTGGCATGGTTGTTTTACAACATGGAGTTACTAAACAAAATGGAGTAACTTTGGCTTGACTATCACAGCAGTAATTGGCAATCTGTATACTTAAGGTTGGTGCACTTTGTTAAGTACAATACATTTCTTTCTTTTCTTTCTTTCTTTTTTTTTTTTTTAGAAAGTCTTATTCTGTTACCCCAGCTGCCCCTGAACTCTTGGATCAAGTGATCTTCCAGCCTCAGCTTCCTGAGTGTTGGGATTATAAGTATGCACTACTGCACCTGGTCTTTTCTTTTAAAAACCTGTAATAATATATAAAATGTGCCATTGACTAGGTACTGTGGCATGTATGTAATCCCAGTAATTTGGGAGGCTGAAGCAAGAGGACTGCAAGTTCAAGAGCAGCCTCAGCTATTTAGTGAAACCTTTTCTCAGAATCAGTGGCACAGTATCCCAGGGTTCAATTCCCAGTACAAGGAAAAAAAAATTCGGGCATTGTAACTTTTTTCCCCCAGTGCTGTGGATCAACCCACGATCTCTAACAAGCTCAGCAAGTGCTCTGTTGCTGAGTTACACTGACAAATCCAAAGTGTGGGGAGCCACTCCTGAGTTATTTGAGCATCTTCACTGGGCCTTGGAGCCAAAGAGATTTTGGTTTGGCATTGCAAGCTATTTTGTGGCTCCTCCCACTTAATGGATTGGGCAATGTACAGGACCTCTGTCTTCACTAGGCCAGGAAGACTGATCTCCTAGCTATAGAGTTGAGCGTGACCCAGTGGGAACTGGGCAGCCCACCTCCTACCTTAATTGGCTAAGAACATTCTGTAGAAAGCCTTTGAAGTTCTCCCAAATAAAGAAAGCAAACGTGGGCTCTTGCTCTTTCTAGCATGGAAGCTCGACCCTTAAGGTTGAAGAGCTATCCTGCCCCTACTCTTTAAAACTATTTTCTGTGTTGTGTGATTTTTCCACCTTATTCCTTGGCCAGCCCACTCCATGCAGGGGAATCCAGCTTCCATCACCTGTGCAGGCTGAGCCAGACCAAAGGTAATTTTTTTTTGGTGGGGTGGGTCGGGGGTGGGGCAAGGCACGGCCGTGGTACTGGGGATGGAACCCAGAGGTACTCTACTATTGAGTTATATCTCCAGCCATTTTTTGGTGGGGAGGTGGGGCGGAGGTGGGGTGGGGAGTACTGGGGATTAAACTCAGGGGCACTCAACCACTGAGCCACACTCCCAGCCCTATTTTGAGACAGCCTGAGTGCTTAGTGCCTTGCTTTTGCTGAGGCTGGCTTTGAACTCACAATCCTGCCTCAGTCTCCTGAGTTGCTGGGATTACAGGAACGCGCAACCATGCTTGGCTCCAGCCATTTATTGTGAGACAAGGTCTAAGTTGTCCAGGCTGTCCTCAAACTTGTGATCCTCCTGCCTCAGCCTCCTAAAGTAGGGAATACAGGCATGAGCCACCTTGCCAGGCTTCATGTCTGTCTTAAAGATGGCTGTAATTTGAGCCTAAGAGTCAAAGTTGATAGTTCCCAGTTCAGAGGGAAATTGAATGGCTGCAGTGGTGTGGTCAAAATGAGAAGCAGTATGTTTGGGGTGAGAAGGGATGTTGGGAAATTTGAGAACATGATTACAAAAGGAACGAATCTTTTGCCAAGATTAAGCTCTCAATTTGAATAGTATCACCACCAGAACCTTTGCCAGGCCTTGGACACATACAAACCAGCAAGACAGGTATTCTCTCTGTTTTACTATAGTTTCTGATTAAGACTGAGAGAAAAGATTTGCCGAAGGCCAGTTCAGAAGGTAGGCTGGGATTTCAATTGTTGGGAATGGGCTGCAAGCTGAAAATCTTTTTTTTTTTTTTTTTTTTTGTGGCATTGGATATTGAACCCAATGGCACCCTACTAATGAATACACCCCCAGGTCTTTTTATTTTTGAGACAGTCGCAGTCAGCCAGGTTAGCTTTAAACTTGTGATCCCCTTGAGTAGCTGGGATTACAGATTCGCATCACCATGTCTGGCAAAAACATCCTAATTTTTATAACCAATTCTTACTATCACCCTGACTCAAAACTTCTATATAGCTGAACACAGTGGCACATGCCTGTAATCCTGGTGATTTGGGAAGCTAAGCAGGACGATTGCAAGTTCAAAGCCAGACTCAGCAATTTAGCCAGGTCCTAAGCAACTTAGCAAGATTGTCTCAAATTTTTTAAAAAAGGCTGGAGATGTTGCTCAGTAGTTTGAATGTCCCTGGTTTCAACCTCAAGTATCAGGAAAACCACCACCACCACCATCATCACCAAAAAAACCACTTCTATAATGACTCAATTTCCTCAACCTCTCAAGCCACCAATTAATTCCTATAGTTTTTGTTTCAACTTACTTTACACCTTTGTAGTCATGGCCCTACATACTTATTTCCTGTTTTGTTTTTTTTTTTTTGTACTAGGGATTGACTCCAGGGGCGCTCGAGCTACATCTCTACTACTTTTTTTTTTTTACTAGGCCTGGACTAGTTGTGTTTAAGTGATTGGGTCAAATAGTATTTATGTCCTAACAACTTAGTAGTAGTTTGAAAATGTAATACACCTAAATCTAAAGAAAATGTATATTTCCATGTTAAAAAAAACAACTATATAATCATTTACTAGTCAGACGTTGGGCACTCTCAACTTCTCAAACTTTGGAATCTAGCTGGATGGACACTGCCACCTTCATTTCCTAACTGGTGTTCAAAGGAATTGAGCCTGGTCTATTATGTTGTTACTGACCTACTTTGATAGTTCACAGGGGCCTAACATGTCAAGTATCCCTGTGAGTACCCTAACATTAGAATATCCCGTGGCATTCTGTGAATATGCAGCCATGTTCCAAGGGTGCCTTGGCTCATGGTCTGGGAACCACAGATATAAGCAACAAGCTTTACTCATGTCTTAACCAGGCAAATACCATGAGTATTTTAGAAACATGAATCTGGCCTTGATGTTAAAGGTGGAGGATAGCAGGAATAAGAGAATAGACTCAGCCAAGCACAGTGATTGGTGTATATCCAACAAGTGGTGCAATCCCAATGAACTCAGAAGGCTGAGGCAGGAGAATCACAAATTTGAGCCTAATCTGGGCAATTTAGCGAGACCTTGTCTCAAAATTTGGGTATGAAGATGTAGCTCAGTATGTGCCTAGCATGTGTGAGGCTGAGTTCAATCCCTAGTACTACAAAAAAAATAAATAATATAAAAAAGTAAAAAATCATGGAGATACTGAAGGCACCATGATTTAAAAAGTTTGGAAACCTCTGGCCTAGATGATAAAAATTCACACTTCTTAGCCTGGCATTCAAGGGTCTTCAAAACTGATGGCACAAACACATACTTCCCATCCCCAATATTCCCTGGCTCATTTTTTTTTTTAACCAGGAAATGAACCCAGGGGCGTTTAACCACTGAGCCACATTCCCAGCCCTTCATTTTTGAGACAGGACCTTGCTAACTTGCTGAGACTACCTTTGAACTTGGATCCTCCTGCCTCAGACACTTGAACCACTGAGATTACAGGTGTGTGCTACTGCTGGTACTCAAATCCATTTCTCCTACTTGTTGGTTGACCCTGGGCAATTCTCTTAGCCTATTTGTCAACTGAAGGGGAAAAAACAAAACAAAACAAAAAAACTAACAGCACTTAACTTATATGGCATAATGAGTATTATTACATAAAGAATATACACAAGTACCATATGTAGCAAGTGCTCAATTAAGTGGTAGACATAATTCTCTCTTATTTGAAACAAGCCCAATCTGTATTCTTGCCCAGTTTCCCAAGACTAACCTGAATATCCCCTCAATTTTCTGGTCTACAAATGTTATTTTTTCTCTGTTGAGCCACAGTCCACCTCCTCCATTGAGTCTTCCCCAAACTAGCCCATAGTTAACTACCATCAGACTCCATACCACCACAAGTCCATAGTTAAGTATTGCCTTTTGTAATGTAGCTGGCATCACCTGCACATTGTTTCCCCAAATAGACAACTGTAAGCATCCTTGAGGTTAGGACCGTGATGCTACCTTTGTTTCCTAACGCATCTAACACAGTAAAAAGTACAGATCAATATTTGCTGACTTTGGGGCTGGGGATATAGTCAGTGGTGGAGCACTTGTCTAGAATGTGGAAGGCCCTGGTTTCAATCCCCAGTACCACCAAAATAAAATGACAAATTTATATAATGTATAAAATATGGGCTCCAGAGTAGATTAAGCACTCAGAACAACTCTTCTGTCGAGACCAGAGGGAAAACACACACACACCAAAAAAAAAAAAAAAAAAGGAAAGAAGGCACAAATGCTGGCCAGCAGTGCTAAGTGGAAGCCTGGGATCAAGGTCCCTTGTGAGATCAGGTCATGAGACAGGGTCTCTATGTTGGAAAGGATGTATTTGTCAGGATAAGCACACAGGTAATTAAATTCCTAGGAGTGAACTAGCAAGGCCTAGCAAGAAGTGAGGATAGCATAAGAAAGTGTCCCACTCTCTCCTTCCAACCATGCTTTTATTTTTGTCAGAAATACCAATTACAGCCTGGTGCAGTGGCATATGCCTTTAGTCCCAGTGAAGGGGGTGGGGGTGGGGTTGGTGAGGCAGGAGGATCCCAAGTTCAAAGCCAGCCTCAGCAATGGCAAGGCATGAAGCAACTGAGCGAGACCCTGTCTCTAAATAAAAAAATACAAAACAGGGCTGGGGATGTGGCCCAGTGGTTGAGTGCCCCTGAGGTCAAGCCCTGGTAACTCCTCCCCCGCCCCCCACAAAAAAAGAAATACCAATTATAAATTTGGGTAAATAATCTTTTAAATTATAAATATCCTGAAAGTGGGTAGAAGGAAATTTTTAGCCTTTCTCATTGATGAGGTCCACTCCTCAAAATATGAGACATAAACAATTATGCGAGGGCAAATAATTGTAGCCCTTTAAGCTAGGGTGACTTGTTACTTGGCTTTACTGGAGGGCTCTGGGACGACTTAAAGATGCTTAAGAGTAGGGGATTTGGGGGATGAAATTAGGAGGTGCAGAAAGAATGGGAGATGGCTGAAAAAAGTCTACTTTGACTAAGCAGGAAATTTGGCTGTGCCTTTGATAAACTTGAGGGGAGTCTATTGTGGACTTTGGGCAACAAACTGTATGATCTGTGGGACAGGGACTGGGCTCAGGGTTAGCTGTGCCAGGCAAGCAGCAGGTGTACAGGGAGAACACTGGCACAAGCCAGGTCAATGGAGCCTATCACCCTTGGTACAAATGGGGGAACCACTCATTGGTCCTGAAGGCAGAGGGCTAGAGTGAGTGCTCAGTGAGTGGAAGAAAAATATTCTGGGTAAATCAAAATATCCCAAACTTGGACTGAGGTTGTAGTTCAGCAATAGAGCACTTGCCTAGCACATGTGAGGCACTGGGTTCAATCCTCAGCACCACATAAAAAACAAATAAAAGAAAGGCATTCTGTTCATCTATAATTGAAAAAATTTTTTAAAAAATCTTGAACTTATTATAATAATGTTCAGTTGACATGTTTAGGTTAAAGCTATTTTCATTCCTCAGAATATACAGTCAGAATATTTATATAAATATTTATTTCCAAAGTAGTACTTAAAAAAAAAAAGCAGATGTGATTTAGATTAAAAGCTCCAAGATGTATTGTTTCAGGTAGGTGTTATTCCTATCTCTACCATCACCCCATTTGTTAAGCCAAAAACTTCAAGTTCACAAATTAACAATGACGTATAAAAGCCCAACCAGGATGGAACAGTGTGTGTTCTAAGAGAGAACAGCACAGCTCATCAGTGATGCCTCAGGGAGCTCCTGTGCTCTACTGTAAAAATAAGGATTTCTTCCTGTAAACCTGAATGTGACCTGCTAGAGTCTCTGGTTGTGGCTGCTTTAGTCTCCTGATTCTAATGGTGTGCTGCTTTGTTGCCTACAAGGTTGAGTCAAGCTTCCAGGTCCATTCTTATAGGCCTCCATTATCTACATGTGATGCTCAGGAGAGTTGACCAATCTGAAGGTGGGGAAAGCTGTTTAAAGGAAGAACCTCCATTCCAGCATAATCTGCCCTTAATCCTACTGCAGAAACTGTTTTCACTCTGGGGATTATAAGTCTTAGAAGATCATGGCCACGAAGATGTCTTAAGTGACTTCCTCTGAGAATTTTATCCCCAACAGGGAGCCATCTGGCCACTTGTCTTTTATTACATTTCTAATAGCTGCTCCATTTCCTCCAGGGCTGTTTTAAAATCATTGACTTGACCATTACATAAGGTTTGCTGTTCTAGAAATCGAACCCTTTCTTCTTCTTTCATCTTCAACTTTACCTTTAAGGCCTGTAAGGAAAGGCATTTCAAAAGAATAAACACACTTAAAACTCTTGACTCAACAGGAAACACAATACCCACACCAGAACATTATACTTCTATTCCACTGAAGAAGACCAACAAACATTGCATTTTCTATCTCAGATTTTCTTTATCTGTGCTGGTTTTAGCAACTGTTCTCTGTATTACAGACTCCTGCATATAAACAGAGCAATGAAATTCTCTACTTTCCATGAAATATCACCAATGATTCATTCAAGCAATCTGAAGCAGTTCAGACCCAAGGTTTTCTTTTTTATACATTTTTTTTTAGTTGGACACAATACCTTTATTTTATTTATTTACTTATTTTTTAATGTAGTGCCGAGGCTCGAACCCAGCACCTCACATGTGCTAGGCGAGTGCTCTACCGCTGAGCCACAACCCCAGCCAAGAATCTGGATTTCTTACTACCAGTTTCTTTCTTGAGATATCAAACTTTCATAGCATGGATTTCACATAGGTCTCAACTGTCAACTTTGAACAACCTACTGTGCTGCCTACTGCCTCATGGCCCGGAGATGTGAATATTTCTAAGCGTCCACAGGAACAGAAAAAGAAAGTTAGTGGGGAAAAAAATGGGAAGTCGAAATGAAGTCTTGGAATGTAGTTAACAATAATTCACCAGTGCTGGTTTCTTTTTCTGTCCTCCACCCCACCGCCCATATCAGGCATAACCCAGTAGTGTTCTACCTGTGAGCTACACTCTAGCCCTTTTTTCCTGCCTTCATTTTGAGACAGGTTTGTACTATGTTGCAGAGGCTGGTCTAGAATTTGTGATCCTCCTGGATTAGCTTCCTGAATAGCTGGAATTATCAATGCTGGTTTTTTAGTTTTGACAAATGTACAATGATGATGTAAGCTGTTACTATTATTATTAGGGAAATTGAGTTTTCCAAAATATCTTTTCAACTTTTCTGAAAATCTAAAATATTTCAAAATAGTTTATTAAAATAAAGACAGGGGCTGGGGTTGTGGCTCAACGGTAGAGTGCTCGCCTAGCACATGCGAGGCCTTGGGTTTAATCCTCAGTACCCCATAAAAAAATAAATTAAAAAATAAAGATCCTCAGCATCACATAAAAACAAATAAAATGAAGGTTAAAAAAAAGGTATTGACAACTACAACAAAAAAATAAATATTGAAAAAAAAAATAAATAAAGACAGGCAGTGGTGCACGTCTGCAATCTCAGGGATTTGGGAGGCTGAGGCAGGAGGATCACAAGTTTGAAGTTAGCCTGGGCAGCTCAGTGAGACCCTATCTCAAGATGAAATTAAAAATGGACTGGGAATATAGCCCAGTGATAAGAGTGCCCCTGGGTTCAATCCCCATACCACAAAAACACAATCTACACCTGCTTCAGGTGATGTTTGCCCTCACCTGTAACTCCTCCATCTGCTTCTTGGCAGTTTCATTAAAAAGTTTCAATTCATCTTGCAAAGTTTCTAACAGCAACTAAGAGGAAAGTACAATGTAATAAACAAATCTTCATATGAATTAGATGGTGGTTAATGTTCCATTCATTTGTCAATTGCTAAGCACTGAATGCACTTGGCCTGGCTCTCTAATGGGCGTTCCGATGAACTCAGTCCACCATACAAATTTCCCCAACAGGATGTGCTCTGTGATACATAGGCCTTAGCAACAAAATATGGCAACCACAGAAGGGCTGACTAATAGCCTGAGGGAGCCAAGGAAGGTTCTGCAGCTAATATTCTATGACTAAGATGACAACTAATCTTCCAAGTGAAAGATCATGCATGTATGAGAAGCTTTTGAAGTCCAAATGTATTACCTTCCTTTTGCAAGGAAGGAACCAAATAAACCCTGCAAATTCAAATTTAACAGGCTGAAACTCTGTATCACACAGTTCTCAATAAAGGACTAGTGGGGTGAAATTTGGTAAAGTATAGATTGGAGAGATCAGAAAGCTCTCTATATGAGTTCAACCTATCATGTGTTTTAAAGTGGTACCTTTTCAATTCAGACTTTCTTATGTTTGTAAGCACAAAGCTACCTTTCAGGTAAAATATGCAATTGAATACACATCCTATTTGCTCTTCTATTATTGTGGATAACCAAAGGCTGCTTTTTGGGGTTTGTTGGGCATATATCAGAGACCCTCTGAGATCTACAGGGCCCCAAAGTCATACAGCCCTGCCCATTCACACTCACGCCCTCACCATAGAGTCTGTGTGATCCAGAGTAGGTTCCGGCTGTGATGCCAGGGTCTCACTGCCTAAAAGAAATGTATTCAACAAAGTCAGCCTCATTCTGGGAACTGCACCTTACCAGAACAAAATAAAACTCCCTCCATGGACAAGTATCAGAATATTTCCAAGGGAACTTTCTCCAAGTGTCTATTTCTACACTTTCTGCTCTGAGTTTTCACCTGGAAAGAGTCACTCATGCCTGCTCTTCAGAGCGGTATTTTACCTCCTTTCTCTTTAGGTCTGCATAAAGAAAAAAGCCAAAAATTCATTCTGTTCTTCTTAGCTCAGTGGAAAAATTTGTTCAGAGGAATGTATAGGTTGGATTTCTGCTTTGTTTACAACACAAAAATTATTCTTAAAAGTCTTTCAAGTCTTAAAAATAATGATTTTCGGTAATAGTTCATTCACATATTAGAAATATACAAAAATGTTTATGGTAATGATAAAGATTATCTAAACTGGAGCTGGGAGTGTAGCTCAGTGGTAGAGCATGTGCTTGGCAATCCCTAGGCTCTTGGTTCCATCCTCAGCACCCAAACAAAACAGCTACCCCCAGGTTAAACTTATCCAGTCCCATTCAAAGTTAGCCTTTCTTAGTGCAAGGACTAAGGCTCTTTCCCTGGTATTCTCTGGTTCCTCAACTCAGCCTGAGGCTGTCTTACAGTCTTCTTTTTAAATTTTTATTATTATTTTTTTTATTATTAAAAATAGCTTCTTGAGTAGCTGGGATTACAGGCATGTACTATTATTGTGGCTGGTCATCTTATAGTCTTCGGGCAATTCCTTCTTTCATTCTCTTCTTTGCTACAGAGTCTGGTCTTTTCTTTGCTACTCAAGGGACAGGGTCTGAATAGGAGTCACTTTTTTGGGGGGTACTGGGATTGAACCCAAGGCTTCCTACATCCTAAGCATGTGCTCTATTACTGTGCTATATCTCCAAGCCATGATCACGTTAGTCACCGTGATATTGCTGATTAGCCAGATTTAGGAACCCTAGAGTAGTAGTCTCTCTTTCTCTCTCCTGCTTCTCTCCTGAGAAAGGCATTAGTTAAGTTCTACTTCTCTTCAAAGAAACACGATTTTTCAGTCTATTTGTGAGGTCATACCTGTTGGCACCAAATGAATAGCAGAGAGTATTCAGATAGTAGAAGTAAACTTCTCTCTACAGTCCTGCGAAATTCTATTGGTCAGGCAAAAATCAACATCAGATAATAATAGAAGCTTTCATGAATCTTTAGGCCTTTGCTAAGCAACTCCTGACCAGCTGGGCCACCTGAAGCTATGCTGCCAAAGTCCATTCTCTTACCTGGGTTGAGGCCCTTGCTCTCTAAAATCGCTAAACAATTGTCCTGAAACTTCTCCAGCAGCTCCACCTTCTGAGTCAGGTCCTTCAGCTCTCCCTGTTGGAGTGTCACATAGATCAGGAGCTGTCCTCTGGTAGGTCTTTGCCTGAGCTCGTGGACAAGACAGCAAGAGCCTGGCTTCTTCTCCTTCTGCCCTTCAGCAGCTTGCTCCCACCCATCATGTGTAGCCCAGTGACAGCTGATGACACAGGTCTGGTGGGTCTCTTACCTGAGTCTCAGTCAACTTCTGGTGCAGCTGCTTGTTGACAGCCTCTAATAGCTGATTTTTATCCTTGAGCTCTTCCTCTGATTTTTGCTTACTCAATGGTTTGTAGCTGCAAAAAAAGTTGTACTTTACATGAAGATGCAGAGGGGATGAATATGGGTTAAGGAGTTACTCAAACAGGTATGAACCCTGTTTTCATTATATAGTGGTATATGACTCAGTGAATTGCATAACCTCGCTGAGGCTCTGGGTACTCATTTCTAGAGTGAAGATCACACTCACATTTCATACTATTATTGTGAAGAATAAAAGAAAACCCATATATAGTGTTTAGGCCAGATACTAACACATGATAAACATTTAATAAATAGCCACTGTCGTCGTCATCAATATTAATCCTTCATTTTGAAATTCTTTCTTACTAGCATTTTGTCTTCAAAACTTTTAAGACATGCCCACCTAATAGATTTGGAATAGAACCTAGGCGCATAGGCTTTTCAGTTTCTCATTATCTGTTTCAAGACTGTAAAACTTTCAAACTATCCTGAAACAGAGATGGGTCCAGGAGTTTACCATGTCCACCTCCACCACTGGAACATTTATTTCACTGTCACTAACCACGCCTATTCCAAACTCCTGTTGATGGGCCATCAGCAGTGGTCCTGGCATGGAGCACAGAAAGCTCTTGTCTGAGGCTCAAGATGGTGGCACCACTGATTCTTGTACTGACAATGGTTCTCCCTGCTGGCTCTGCCTTATCCCTGAAAATTCCACTCAGGTACCCAGACCATAATATATTAAATAAGTCCCATGAGTGACACACAACTGGGAACATGAATTACCCTAAAATGGTGGCCAGGTTTATTTACCCTGTAGCTCACCTCTTCTTCATGTTCCTCTTGATGGCAGTCTCTGCAGCCTTCATCTGCCTAGAGAAGCAAAAACAAATTAATCCGGGAATCATACTATGTTGCACTGTGTTGTAAACAAGGCAGAACTAAGAGCTTGAACTTCTGAAGGAAGAATCAGAGATTAGGTACAAGGCAAACAGTACAGGCTTAAGAGCCTAAATGCCTATCCTCTTTGGTTTCACACTGAGAAAGTTTTATCATTAGGGAAAGGGTTGCCTTCCTGATTATCTCAACAACCTGACAGACCTGCTCATGCTCCAGATAGTGTGGCCATCCCATGCTAACTAAACTCACCTGGGAAAAGAACACTGGCTAGGGGACAAGCATATATCCTAACTGGGGCTGGACTTTGCTCAGATCAGCAACCTAGGCTAACAGCTAGGCCCTCGCAATACCATTTACATACTCAAAGCAAGTGTGAGAGAGGAAAGAATACATCTTTTCATAATCCTTGCTGTCTCCCTTCAGAACAGATTAACACAGAGAACCCTGACAAACAGGTCAGTGGTGCCACAGGCTATCATTTAGGAGCCTGGTGCTCCTGAACCCCTAGTTTTTAATTCTTAGTACTGAGCAATTTCTAACAAGATGGTTTTTTGTTTTGTCTTTTGTGGTGCTGGGGATTGAACTGGGGCCTTGTGCATACTAGGCAAGGGCTCTACCTGGATACCAATGATCTGTTCTCACCCATTCTCTCGCTTTGGTTTGGTGATTTTTGTAATATCATTATCTGAACCTCCTGAATAAAGATGTCTGGAAACATCGACTTCTTTGGACTTAATAGGTAACAGACTCTTGGTAGTAGCTCGAGTTTGTGTATCTGCAAGGAAAAACAAGAGAGAGAGAAACCAAAGCTTTATGACCCATCAGCTGCAACCCTATAACATACAATTCCATCCCAAGTGTATAAGCCTTTATTTTCATACTGGCCAATCTCAGTTTGTGAAGACTAATTTCAAAGAGTAAGACTTCTGGACTAGTTGTCAATAGAAACCAAAATTCTTTAAATGTGATAATTTAGTGTACTTAACACATCAAACTGAAATGCTGGAGGAAATAAATATGAATGTGGAGACTGATACAAGTAATGGGTTAAATGAAAGGCAGAGTTAGCAGGGCAAAACCCCAGCAGGAAATCATCAAACACCTATGCAGTTATCCCATATTGTTAAGTTCCCAGAGCACTCAGCACATTATCCTACGGCAAAATTCCAGTGGCTTTTCATTCAATTTTTGTCTGTTTTCGTCAAATTTCTTCCTAACCACCCTAAAAGTCACCTGTGTGTCCTCTGAGCCTAGTAGAGCAACTCACATATGAAAAAAAGTCCAAGTACTACTGCTGAAATAAATGAAATACTTCAGTTTCATAGCCCTTCACCTCTAAACTATTGCCTGTCTTCTTTCCTCTTTTTTCTGAGGCCTCTATCACCAGCTCTTTTACTTTATTGATCCTTTATTAAGTTTAGAGGTTCCCTATTTGGATTCTTTTTGATCTTGCTGGGCTATGGCCAGATAACCATGATATGGTCCTGCCATGAGACACTTGGTTCCTAAAGGGGAGCACATCCCCCCTAGCCTTAAGCCAGCCCTTCACCACACATTTTCTATAATTTATATTTCACAGCAAATTCAACTAACTTATTCAGGAATTAAGACACCACCCCCTGCCGCCCACACAACAAATACACACAGGCTTTCCTTCTTCTTCTCCCCCACGCCTTCTTTTTAGGTGTTGGGGAATGAACCTAGAGCCTTGCACATGCTGGGCAAGCACTCTATCACTATCCCAGCCCTGTCTTTTTTTTTTTTTTTTAATTTTTTTTTAGTTGTAGATGGACACAATACCTTTATTTTATTTGTTTATTTATATGTGGTGTTGAGGATTGAACCCAGTGCCTCATACATGCTAGGCAAGAGCTCTACTACTGAGCCACAATCTCAGCCCCCAGCCCTGTCTTTTCTAAATTATACTAACTTCATTTTGTTCACTGTAAAATGGCCCCTTTAAACTTGACCTAAGTTAAGAGCCATAACAATTACATCAGGTTGAAGAAATGAAGTACAAAGTGCTAGACTGCAGAGATTAGAAAATTTTTTATTTGTATACAACAAGATTTTATCTGAATAACTCTGGCTGCCTAACACTTCACTTATCAAAATGTCTTCCTAACCACCCTAAAAGTCATCTGTGTGTCCTCTGAGCCTAGTAGAGCATCTCACGTATGAAAAAAAGTCCAAGTATACTGTTGGAATAAGTGAAATACTTCAGTTTCATGGGCTATTTCATAGCCCTTTACCTCTAAACTATTGCCTGTCTCTCAGGTTAACACATTATTTTATTTAAGGGTATATTTTTATGGGCACCTAACCTTCATTTCGGTTTTCTTTTTTCCCTGTGGTACTGAAGATCAAACCCAAAGGTGCTTTTGAATTCAAGGGTGCCCTACTGATGAACTACATACACAGCCTTTTTTTTTTATTTTTTATTTTGAGACAGGGTCTCTCAAAATTGCCCAGGCTGCCCTTGAACTTATGATCCTTCTAGCTGGGATTACAGACATGTGCCACTATGCCCAGATCTATATTATTGTTTTTATATTTTTAAAAACTTTTCCAGCTCTATTTTTGATACTCATAACCCAAAACAAATACTTTTTTTGAGGTATCTGAAGTAAAAAGTAACCTTGAGGCAACATTTATTTTATCCTATCTCAAGTATTTAAAAAGTTAGAAACATGAGCTGGGATTGTGGCTCAGCAGTAGAGCACTCATCTAGCAAGTGTGAGGCGCTGGGTTCGATCCTCGGCACCACATAAAAATAAATAAAATAAAGGTATTGTGTCCAACTACTTCTAAAAAAAAATATATATATATATATATATATATTTTTTTTTTTTTTAGTTAGAAACAATAACAAATGTATCTCATTAAACAGGAAGAGAAAGCAATGAATTATTTGCATCTTGACTGGGAGATGGCCAGTGACTGCAGCACCCCATGAGAAAGACAGCAGGGCTGTGGTGAGAGACCAGTTCTCCAGCTAAGTGCAGCCCCTGATGACGCCAGGATTACCATCCAGGTGTTGAAGCAGCCAAGACAAAGACAACAACCCTTTAAAGCTTGGAGAAAAGCCTATTTACTTCAGACATCAATCTTGCCACTGCTTATCAACCAGCTTCATGGAATCATCTGGGAAGGGATCATAAATAGCTACTCCATAATCTCCCACAACAGTTTTCAGGTGTCTGGAGTTTATTCTATGCTATAATTTTTGGATTAGGCAGCTCAACCACTGAAGACCCTATGAGATAACTTTCAACCACAAGCAAAACAACACAAAGTAAGGCAGGAAAGCAATTAAGATTATGTTTTTAGTCATGTCTTTCTCTTTTCCCAAAGTTCTCAAATACTTTGGCTAGGCCTGACCCCTCTCATTTCACTCAACATTTATTGAAAATGGGCTAATTAAAGACACCGTGCAGATATTAATGTAAATAAGGTACCCTAGCTCTCTCCCGACAAACGTCCCACTCCTCAAATGAGTCTCCTCCCAGACAAGAGATACCAAGTTTGGAAATAAAATGGATATTCCTTAAAAAAAAAAAACAAAAAAACACCTAGTTTAATAATGTTGTACCACAACCAGCAACTTCAATCTAATTGGTGAAAGCGGCAAAGGTGGGGATGGGGTGTTACCGTTCCTACCACGTGGTTCTTCCCCTAGCTCCCATCATAAACCTAGACAACCGGGATCTAAGTGGCTAGCCCACCGAAGGGCCTCCAGGTTCCGCGCCCCACATTCCCAACCATCGATCAGATCCTTTACTCCCGGCTTGACTTCTACGGCGGGACCACAGTACCCGGGTTGGGGATGGTGTGTACACCCACCTGCCGACAGGCCGCCGCTCAGCACAGACGGGGGCTGCACGCTGCACACTGTCTTAACCACACTGGTCATCGTAAGGAGGCGGCACGGCTAGGCCCTGGAAGGTGCAAGGTGAATGTTTTGCAGCGCCGGGCCCCAGCCCGAGCAGGTGGAGGGCAGGGAGAAAGCTTGACCCCGCCAGCCCAGGCTCGGGATCTGGGAAGAAGCGCCTCCACCCGGCGCCACCCCATCCGCCCCCACACCCAGCCCAGTCCCTCGCCCCGGGAGAGACGAACTCAGACGCTAGCCGCTCCCGCTCGCAGTCCTTGTCGCTGTTGTTCAGAAGAGGCTCAGCAGCAACGGCCAAGCAGCCGGTCGGGTCTGCCGCCTCGGTTTCAAATGGAAACTTCCGGGAGCTGGGCGGGCGGGGTTGCAAGTCGCTTTCCGTAGGCGGCCCTGATGTGCGGAAGAGTCTGTCCCGCGCCGCGACTTTGGGAGCCGCCATGCTGTACGGAAGGTTCGAGCACAGGTGTGGGAGCCCCGGTTCTAGGAGGGGAAGGGGGCGCACTTGGCAGGCCTGAATGGAGCTAATGAACTACGGTGTCATTCCGGGCAGGAGGCGAAAACGTGACCACGTTTAATGTCCAAGTCACAAAGCTGTTTATTTGGTCTGTGGACGTTAGGGTTACTGCTAAGAGCATAGGTTATTGGGATGAAAACTGAAGGCTCAGTGGGCTGCAATACCTAAAGCACCTATTTGGACTCCTAAATGTAATAACATCCTTATTTAAATGGAGATTGAAAACCACTCCTATTAAACAGGGTAGAGTTCTCTGACGTACATTCATTTTATTCGACGAATGTTCACTGAGCATCAGGACTGAGCTTGACTTTGCCCTTCTGGAGTTTAATTGTGATTAAACTATGAAAGAAAAGTATAAAATTTTATGAGAGAAAAGCAGGGAAGCTTAGTTCAAATTTGGGGATCAGGGAAGATTCAGGTGGTGTTTGACTCAGGAAGAATGAGAGGGAGTTAATTACATGAACATGGGGGAATGGGAAGAAAAGCTAATGAAGTTTTTTTTTTTTTTTTGTACTAGGGATTGAACTCAGGAACACTCAACCACTGATCCACATCCCCAGCCCTATTTTATGTTTTATTTAGGATCTCACTGAGTTGCTTAATGCCACTTTTGCTGAGGCTGGCTTTGAACTCACAATCCTCCTGCTTAAGCCTCCCCAGCCGCTGGGATTACAGGTGTGCATCACTGTGCCTAGCTGAAGCTTACTCTTATTTAATATCAAATTATGTTTTTAAAAACTTACTCTGGGGCTGGGATCCTGGCTCAGCCGTAGAGCGCTCGCCTAGCATGTGTGAGACCCTGGGTTGATCCTCATCACCACATATAAATAAATAAATAAATAAATAAATAAATAAATAAATAAATAAATAAATAAATTGGGTCCAACTACAACTAAAAAATAAATATTAAAAAATATATTCTAAAAACAAAGCTTACTCTGGCTTTTAATGGAATTCATTCTGGAGAATGGACTAAAGATAGTTGGGAGGTTGGGAGGATATTGCTGTGTTCAAGTTAGAGATGATGGCCCCTGGGCCATGGTGGTGGAGATGGAGCAGATACATGTGCAGCAATTTTGGGAGGCAGAGTCTCAGGCTAGATGGGATTTAGGGAAGGGAGGGAGAAAAGAGGAAGATGTTGAGGATAACTCCTAGGCTTGAATAATTAATTGTGTGGATAGAGTCACTATTTTGTGGAGGCATGTGGGAAGGATTTGAGAGTTTAGTTTTGAACATGGAAAACCCTAAATACCTTTGAGACATTTCACTAGAGTGTTCAGATAGGCAGCTGGAAATACAAGCTTTGAGCCCAGAGGAGATTCTGGGTTGTAGATATACAGTAAGCCCTTCATCCTTGAATTCCATATATATACATTATTTGGAGAAAGAAATTGCATCTGTACTGCATATGTGTATACACACACACACACACACACATACATATATATATGCTTTTTTCCTTGTCATTTCCCCCTGTTCCCTAAACAATATAACCTAAGAGTGATTTAATAGCATTTACATTGTATTAGATATTATAAGTAATCTAGAGATAATGTAATGCGTATGGGAGGATTGTGTAGGTTATATGTAAGTACTAAGCCATTTTTAATAAAGGACTTGAGCATCTTTGGATTTTAGTAACCTGGGGTTCCTGGAACCCAAAACCCTTGGGATACCAAGGAATGACTGTACTTTTGGGAATTATTAGTATATGGATGTATTTAAAGCCACTTTTTTCTTTCCTGTTTTTTTGATGTACGTGTGTGTGTGTGCGCGTAGAAATTGAACCCAGGGCTTCATACATGCTATATGTGTGCTGTAACACTGAGCTACACCCCCAGCCCAAGGCAGAACTTCTGCTCATGTGTTTGTGCTTATGAAGATGGATCATCATCTCTTTCCTGTGCCCTATTATCCCAGATAAGATCAGGGATGTCCTGGTCTGGCTGTGTGATAACAGAGAGACCCAGTCCATGGTGCAGAGAAGCTAGAAAGAACCCTGATGAGCAGATGTAGGGTAGAGAGGCTGAATGCTACTTGGACATATAGAGAGAAGTCCCTTAGATGGACAGATCCAAATTAAGTGCTAGTCATTGCCCCCTCTTCCTATGGCAGGAGTTACTTTCTTTTTCTTCTTCATCCTTGTCTTCTTTTTTTTAGACAGGGTCTTGCTATGTTGCCCAGGCTGGCCTTGAATTGGGCTCAGGTGATCTTCATGTCTCAGCTTCCTGAGTAGCTGGAACAGATGTGCCACTGTTCCTTGTCAGGAGTCATCTTGATTTATTTATTTTGCAAAAAGACAACTTATGTGGTCAGCCCTCCATATTTGTGGGTTCTGCATTTGTGCATTCAATCAACCACAGACTGAAAATATTCCGCATGAAAAAAAATCACATCAGAACTGAACACATACAGACTTTTCTCTTTTTTTCAACACAGTGTAACAACGACTTACACAGCATATACATTGTATTAGATATTATAAGTAATATAGAGACAATTTAAAGTATATGAGAGGATATATGCAGATTATATGCAGATACTACACCATTACACAAGGGACTTGAGCATCCTTGGATTTTGGTATTCTCCATGGATACTGAGGGTGGGTACTAAGGGACAACTGTACTGTCTTCTCTGTCTTCCATAACTCTTACATCTCATTTGAATTTCTGCTCCACTTGTCATGAGCTATTTGGGATGGGAGGTAGGTCTTAATAACTAACACAAGAACACAAAAAAATTAAACAAAACACCCTCTGATTTGCCTTCAGTTCTGTCACAGATTGTCTGTTTGGATGTGGAAAAATCCCTTTGTATTTCTGATACTCATTTGTAAAACGGCCTAGTTCTTTGTAATATCATATACAAAACAAGTGTTCCATAAACATGCTGATGTCCCCTAGTGTTATGAGTTCTTACAGGGAATGAAACCTCAGGACAGACTCTGCTTTGGGTAGGGAGAGCCAGGATTTGGTCTGCCCTAGACTCATTCTTAAGAAGCATGGGACCTGACCTGGGGAGCACCTTCAGATTCACCCTTCCCCTCCAAAAAAAAAAAAAAAAAAGGGCAAGTCTGAATTCCTGGATTAACTGGATTCTGCTCAACCTCATCTACCTTCAGTACCTTTCCTGGCGAGGCCACTCTGCACACTATGACCATGGAAGAGACATGCCTCCGGAGCCTCAGAATCAGATCAGTCATGATGCCACAAGCCTGAAAGACATCTCAGAGGATTTCAGAGGGAAGCACAAAGGAGACAAGGAGGAACCCTAGGATCTGTTCAGAGTACAGCTTTCTCTGCAGATGGAGGCTCAAAGGGGAGGCAGGGTTTCCACAAAGACATCTAAGAAGGCAGGTTGGAGGAATGTGCTAGAAGCGAAGGATCAAGACAGCCAAGGGGCCAATGTCTCTGAAGCAGGTAGCTGGATGGAGACTTGGAGTTATGTAGAATGAGTCAGGATACTGCTCTGCCATTGACAGTGACATGACCAACCTTACTTAGTCTCAATGTCTTTACCTGCAAATTAGGGGTAAGACCCTAATCAACTGCAGATCATGCTGTGGTAAAGTAGTGAGAGTCCAAGGAGACTAACAGGTGTGGAAATGGAAAGGATTATTATTGTTTTTTTTTAAATAGGGGAGAGCACTGGAGCCTGCTTCAAAAGAGGGAGTCTTACAATTTGATAATGCTCCAAGACTGATCATCCCACCTTCTCCTGCTTCACTCCCAACAGCCATCTCTGCCCAGCTTTGGAGAACTTTCTGGTTAAACTGTGAATGTGAGCAGAGCAAGGTAGTTTAGGATAGAGGCCTCAGACTAATTCTGGCCCAGAGAAGCTCCCCCCAAAGTGAGAAGTGTCCTGATGAAGAGTCAATGAGAGGGGTGAAACCTAGGAGGTTATGGAGGTTCCCAAGGGCTCTTCTGGTCAATTAGGTACCCCAAAAGGATCCCAAAGACAAGGTACCATAGTGTCACTGTTGGGAGGGGGGTCAGGTCAGCCTCCCCTGATACTCAGAACTGCGCACTTGGCCTCTCCCCTTTCCAGAGGAGGAGGTCATTGTTGGCACTGTGGGAGCAGATGAGCCCTCAGCAGGTGACAAGGAGAGCCTGTATTCCCTTCCAAAGGCACTCCCTGTTGAATCCTCCAGATATAGGGGGCAAGTCACAGACAGATCAAGGCTGGAATATCTGGCAGGGTTTAAAATCCATGTTGATTTGGAGAATACTTTCACGTTGCAGCCTGGTGCTGCCCCTGCCTTATTTTTACTGACAAGGTTCTGCACTCAGGTCTGGCTTCCTTTGGTCTTCCTTAGCTGCTGTAGCCTGAAGTGTGGGTACTGGGCCTGCGGAGCCAAACATCTGGCAGATCTGGCTGGCTGTTGGGCAGCATCACAGGGCTGCCATCCCCTGGCCCACCGCGGCCCTTCCAGGAGGAGCTGCTCTGGTAGGAGTTGGGCAGTGATGGGTCATACACCGTCTCCTTCAGTGCCAGCCACAGAGTGTCACGCTTCCCATTCAGCTGGCCCCGCTCAAGTATTGGCTGGTCAATGTCATCTAGGTCTTCTGGAGAGATACCCATGGAATCTGGTACACGGGCACTGGGCTCAGAGGTGCTTAGGCAGGTGTCATCTGAGACGCTTAGCCCCTCTAGGGTGCTGGTTGAGGAGCAAAAGCCATCAGGAAGATCTTCAGCCTTGAGCCTTGGGGAGTGAGCCGGGGTTTCCAGTGAGGCCTGCAGGGGCTCAACCTTCTGCCCTTGGGAATCCTGCCTGGCCCCAATTTTGGGGCTGGAGCCAGCTTGTTTATAGGGGGAGGAGGTCTGCAGGGCTGGGCACTGACTGAAGACTGCCTGGTGGTCCAGCAGCAGATCCCTCGGAGAGCCAGGGTCTAGTGGAATTCCAGAGCAGCAGTTGCCGTCATGAAGCTGCAGATCCTCTGAGAGTACCGAGGGCCGGTGGGATAGCTTGCTGGTGGCTGTGCTAGTGTCAAAGCTGGGGCTCCGGCGCCGTGCCAGGGGTTGAAGCTCATAATGCTCAGAGCAGGATCCAGGTATCCCTCCTATTGGTCGTGTCTTTTCCTCATCAGGGTCCCCACTTCCAGCGTCCCATGGCAGGTGGGCACAGGGCCAGAGGATCTGTCCACAGTTCTTCTCTGGCCCAAAGAAGCAGCACAGAGATTGGAAGAAGAAGCTGGCAAAGCCACAGCTGACGAACTTGACCATCATGATGATGATGCCCAGCTTACGATAGAGCAGCACTGTGGCAGGTAGCATGAGCACGCCAGATGCAAACAGGGCTGCAGTTCCCACTGCTGTGGCACGGCTGGTCTGGCGCAGCGAGAAGGCCACGCGGCTCAAGCGGTCAGGGTGTGGGCACAGGTGATAGGAGATGCAATAGTTGATAGTGAAGTCTACTGAGAGACCCACAGAGGCAGAGAGAAAGAGGGACTCAGCAGTGTTGAGCTGCCACTCAAGTAGAACCAGAAGTCCTACCGTGAGTAGAACAGTGCCTGCCACAGCTGCCACGGAGAACAGGCTAAGTGGAACATTCCAGGTGCCCAGCAACAGTGTGGCAAAGGCCAGTGCCAGAGCCAGGCCCAGCACCACAGCAGGCTCAGTGCTCAGACTGTGTTGCAGGCTGTACAGCTCTAGGCGGCTGGTGAACCAACCACGGCGGAGGCCAGAAGGTGCCCTGCCCAGCTCTGCTGCCAGCCAGCGGCTGATCTCAGTGTAGAAGTGGTGGACCTGGTTGTAGTCTGGACTGTATGGGAAGTTGCTCTGGAACTGCAGGACCAG